CTGAATGTGTTTTGTCAACCAATGGTGGTTGGCGCCAATTCAAACACCAACAGGAATCCCCAATTTGGGGTGCGGTGGAGAAGGAAACTTTATTTAGTGCAAACAACTCAGAGGTAATACAGCATGGCTATGAATATAGCACTGTTGTGGGGGCCAGGCAGCCCTGAGGCCAGGCCCCTCTTCAGCTAGGCAGCTCTGCTATGTGATGGTCCACTCTGCTCTGCCTTGCTTGGCTCTGGTCTACTGTTCTACGCTGGGTCTGCCCTGCGCAGGTCTGTTCTACTCTGGTGAGAAATCTTCTCTGTTTCAGCTCCAGCCAAGGAAATGCAGCCTTTGGTGGAAAGTGTGCTCCCAAAGCCAGAGGGGAGCTGGCTTATATAGACAGAAGTCCCCATCCCTAATCTCTGATTGGTTAAAATAGAGCTGCTCTGATTGGTCAGAGCTGTGCAGCTTCAGTTGGCTGGGGAAGGAGCCATAATCCTATTGGTTGAAATAGGATTCCAAGAAGCCCTCATAAGGGCTGGCTCAGATGACAGAAACACGGTGCAGGCAGTTCAGTGAGGAAGCTTCTCTGTTAAATGCCGTTTGTGTGAGAGGTCCCTGGGCAGAAATGGCTGCTATGCTATGCTTTTGTTTTTCCTGTGGGTTTTGGTTTTTGGTTTTTGTTTTAGCCCAGTTAGCCACCAGGAGCCCTTCTTAGTCCTCAGGGTTTATGGTTTATTTAACTGTATAGATTAAAGTATTGAAGGTGTACATGAAGCATTTTTTATAAGAACATCTCCTCCTTTACCTGACTTTGATTAATGAGCCCTTCTTTGCAAGACAAAGTAAGCCCTGCTGTCTTCACAGGGGAAAGATGAGCTTGGGAACAGGCCTCAGTTTTCGGGTGTGATTGAAGGAGCATGCAGTCATTGAGTCTTACTGATGCTGTTTGTCTCGCTAGGTTGTTAGGGTGAAATGAGTTTAGGTATTTGTTGCAGTGACCCAGCATTCAGAACAGTACCTGGCACTGTAAAAATTAATTTAAAACATTGCATATGTTCTACACAAAATGTATCTAGGCAGTGCTAATTATGAATTCGGGAAGTGCGAGTTAGTGTAGACATCAAGTGGAAGATGCCTATTGGGCCCACTGGGTTACAGGTATCCCCAATCTCTCTTACCTTTTTTTTTTTTTTTTCCTTTATTGATTTTATAGAGAGAGGAAGGGAGAGGGAGAGAGAGATAGAAACATCTATGAGAGAGAACATCGATTGGCTGCCTTCTGCATGCCCCCCACTGGGGATCAGGTCCACAACCTGGGCATGTGCCGGACTGGGAATCGAATGAACCATCAACCTCTTGGTGCATGGGTCGACGCTCCATCACTGAGCCACACCAGCCGGACTTTTAAATGTTTTTATTGATTTTTTTTTTAGAGGGAACGGGAGAGAGAGACAGAAACATCGATAAAAGAGAAGCATCAACATCAATCAGGTGCCTTCTGTGCACCCTATACTGGGGATGGAGCCTGCAACCCAGGCCGGGAATCAAACCAGCTATCTTTTCATACATAGGTTGATGCTTAGCCACTGCACCACACAGGCTGAGCACCTTCGTTTAATCTCTTTCTAGGGAAGGCACAGACCAGCGTCTGTCTCCCCAAACCTCACCTGCTTACGCCCCAGGCAGGACAGAGGGGAAAGAGGAGAAAGAAAATGTGAACTATCTCTAGTGCATAAAGTACCAAACCAGATAGGCCATAGGCTTGACCACCCAGCTTGTCCTGGGTGGGTTATTCGGCCAGCCTGTAAATCCCACTATGTGGGGCCTTCCTGATCCCTGAGCTCAGCACCTCCCATAAGACCCCCAGCCCCTCTAATTGTTCAGAGTGTTTACTGGTGAAATGGGCTCCTTTATATTACCAGTGCCATAGTGAGACTCAGTGTAAGCAGCTTCTCTTCTGGAGTTTCTATAAATTGAGCAACCCCCCCCCACCTCCCCCCACACACATTCACGCACCTGCTGCATATAGTTGGACATTGTTGGAACTTGGAAAAAGAGGCAAAAAGTCAGCCCACTCTCATTAGCCATTTGAAATGAACTTTTTTAAAAGATGTATTAAGGAGCATTTCAAACACATGCAGAAGTAGAGAGACTAACGACCCCCTATACACTCATCACTCAGTTTCAGAAATTATCCACCCACAGGCAACTGTGTTTCATCTCTTCCCTGCCCCAGATAATTTGAAAACAAATCCCAGGCAACACATTTCATTTATAAATATTTTATTATGTATCTGTAAAGGAAAAGTACTTTTAAAAAATGTAGACAAGACATTATTATCTAAAACAGAGATTGCCAACGTTTTTCATCTCACGGCACACATAAACTAATTACTAAAATTTAGCACACCAAAAAATATAATTTTTGCCAATCTGCCAAAAAAAAATCAATACAGTATAATTTTTATTCATTCACACTAGACAGCTATTGTTGTGTTGCCTGTTTTTTTTGTTTGTTTGTTTTGTTTTGTTTTTTGACAATCTTAGGGAAAAGATATTGGTGCCTGACTAAATTGTCAGATATTTCTCATGTTGTAAAAATTCTTGCAGCACACTGGTTGAAAATTGCTTATCTAAAAAATTAACAGTAATATCCTATTATCATCTAATATTCTGGTTAACATTAAATTTCCCCAATTCAGATGTTCTCTCATCCTTTCAATTTAGTACAGAGCTTTCAGCGGACCTGCAGCATGGTGATAGGCTGGTGACCACGTGGAGTGTGCAGTTGAACGTGAGCCTGGGAAGACTAGAGTCGGGGTAATAGAAGAGAAAGTGCTCTTCCCAGGGCTGTAGGACAGGACAGAGCAGCCCTGGGTCCAGGGGCCCCCTGGAGTATGTTGTTCTAGCCAGAAAGAGCCTTGCACAGCGTTGCTGCACCCATTCTGCTTCCCTGCCTGTCTCACAGCCTGTGACTTAGCCCTCTGGTACCTTGGCAGGGAATGGTTCCTGTGGTCCGGGGTTTGTTTGGGCCCCCTGCTGTGAGAACTTGCAATACCTACAGGTACTTGGAGCTCTCTAAAGCCATCTCTTCTTCTCCAAGCCTTCATCGCAGTTGGTGAGCTTCAGCAGAATTCTATCAGAAGGAGCTCACCTTCTGAGTAGCTTGTAGGAACCCAGTATTCCAGACATAATTGAATGATGACAGAAATCTTGATGGCGAGATGCAGCCAAGTTAGCAGTGGAGATAGGAGAGGCGGATCTACAGTGGGGCCTCACTGGCCACGTTCTGCCTCTGCGTGATAGAGGAAGCAGGGTTGCATGTACTTGGCACTTCTTTCTTTCATCACCAGATGAAAATGAGCTCAGTTGTTTCATGGGTGATTTTATTATCTCTTCATTTCCAGAGAAGCCTTTCAAAGCAACAACAGTTTCCACTAAGGTCTATGCAGTATGACTATTCTTCTGTGCCCAAGTTCTTTCTTTGTGAAACAATAATAGGACCTGTCACGTGTAGCTCTAGTGATGGTCTAGGGCAGTGATCTTTCAACCAGCATGCCACAAGAATTTTTAAAACATGCAACACCTGATTATTTAGTCAGGTGCACTGACCTCTTTCCCTTAGCTTGTTGAAAAAAAAAAAAAAAGTGACAGCAGCCAATACAACAACAGCCGTACGATGTGAATGAATCAAAATTATATCTTTTTTTTTTTTTGTCAGATTGGCAAAAAATGTATTTTTTGGTGTGCCACAGTATTTTAGTAATTAGTTATGTTTGCCATGAGATGAAACCAATTGAAAATGCCTGGTGTAGGGGATGTTGACAATATCCTGTAACTGTATAGTTTATAATGGCTGTATAGTTTTTAAGATGGTAGATCTCAGTGAAGACCTACAAGACAACACTGCTGTGGAAGTGGAGAAAGCATTTAGGACAGTATTCCTGATGCGTCCAGGTGGCCTGGGACATTCAAGGAGGAGGAGGAGGAGATCTCTGAAGTGAAGCATGATGACCGTTAGAGGGACTGCATTTGTGGGGGGTTTCTAGGAAAGGGAGACAGCCTCAGGGTAGGTCAGGCCTTGCCATTTGACTTTGTATCTTACAAACTGTGCAACTCCAGCCTTATTGATTTCATAAGTGTGATGGAGGCCAGGGTGCCTGTCCACCTGCCAGGATCGTGCCACTGCCCCGTAGGCCTGCACGTAGTGTGGGTTTAATAGGTGGGAGGTGCGGTTCTTTTTCACATAACGATGGTAATAATGTCAGAATTTAATCACTGTCACATGCTGCTACTTCAGTTGGAGAATCTGAGTATCCTTTTATCTTGATCAGATACCAGGGATGCTGATAACGGTGGCTCGAGATGCTGTGTAAATTTGTGCTTTTTGACTTCCAAACATGTTTTATGATGAGAGCCCATGGAGCAGAGGGAGTGAGAAAGCTGAAATGATCACTAGTGACATAGTTCGGGTAGGATGAGTGGGCCTTCGGCTGTGCTCACCATGCTGTCTGCGAAGATTGGACACCCACAGGTTGTTAGGTTATCATTTCTTCTTGAGGAAGAGTTTTTTGTTGCTAACCATGAGCAGACTGGCTTCTTGATGTCTTATTTCTTTTTTCATTTATTCTGATGATTTGTCACATCATTTTATTTTCATTTACTTGTAAATAAGGGGAAAACAAAATACAATAAGACTAATGGATAGCCCTGGCTAGTTTGGCTCAGTGGTTTGAGCATCGGTCCTCAGACCAAAGGGTCGAGGGTTCGATTCCTGGTCAAGGGCATCTACCTTGGTCAATCCCCAGCCCTGGTTGGGGTCGTGCAGGAGGCAACCAATTGATGTGTCCCTCTCCTCTCTTCCTCCCTTCCTCCCTCCCTTCCACTCTCTCTAAAAAAAATCAATGGAAAAATGTCCTTGGGTGAGGATTAACAACAACAACAAAAAGACTGATGGACAGGTGGAAATTAGAACTTGGCTGCCTCCTTATATCTTGTCCCTTTCTTCCTCCCAGATGTGACATTTGCTGCGTCACCTTTCGAACACATCGAGGATTACTACGCCACAATGCGCTTGTTCACAAACAGCTTCCCAGAGACGCAGTGGGAAGGCCTTTCATCCAGAACAACCCTTCCATTCCTGCTGGCTTCCATGATTTAGGATTCACTGACTTCTCCTGTAGGAAGTTTCCTCGGATTTCTCAGGTATGCTCATTGGCCGGCAGAATCGGCAGCCACCGCCTGCATGGTCTGCGCAGTTGGACTTAAAGTCCTCACCCTAAGGTTTCCTTAAAATAAGGTCCATGGCATTTTGTTTTTTAGCAGCACCTTTCCTTTTGAAGTTCTGTTTGGCCCTTTTAGTCGTCTTTGGGTTGTTGGGTTCAGAGGTGTATGTAAGTGGCCTTTCATTTTGTTTTTTAATTACATCACAGCTTTAATTAGCCTTACAGCTAAATATTTTCAGCACTATAGTTTTTATTTAAAATGTTTTGGTCTGGCTGGTGTGGCTCAGTGGTTGAGGGTCGGCCCATGCACCAAGAGGTTGCTGGTTCAATTCCCGGCCAGGACACATGCCCAGGTTGTGGGCCCGATCCCCAGTGGGGGGCATGCAGGAGGCGGCCAATTGATGTTCTCTCTCATCAATGTTTCTGTCTCTCTCCCCCTCTCACTTCCTTTCTCTCTCAAAAAAAAAATCAATAAAGGGAAAAAAATTATAAAAAAATAAAATCTTTTAAAAAAAAAGTTTTGGTTTGTTATTAACCTGAGCCATATTTGTTCTCTGCTTATAAAGCACCTGCTAAAAGTACTTTGAAACTATCTTTTTGCAGTTTTTTAAAATTGAGATAGAAGATATCAGCAGTGAAGTTCTTCTAGTGCATAAGCCTCAAGCTCGATTCCATACGTATGTACCCATGTGTGTACACTCGTAACCCCACGTGGTACTCCCTCTTCTGGTAGCACAGAGTTAACTGATTCTCTACCAGTGGTAGGCAGTATTACTTAATTATATTTCGTTGTTTCTCTGCTAAGAGACCCTGGGGGTTGATGTCATTCATGAAGAAAACATGATACTTAAGATACTTTGGGGTTTCCTTATTCACTCTCAGAGTCAGGGAGCTGGGAAGGGTCAGCTTCTTATGCGTCATGGAGAAAGCTGGATGCTGTGGCAGCTATGCAACAGGTACATTCTGTATCTGTTTAGTGATGAGTTTTCAATCCTCATTTCCTTTTACAGGCCTGGTGTGAAACAAACCTGCGAAGGTGCATCAGCGAGCAGCACCGTTTCGTCTGTGACGTCTGCGACAAGGCATTTCCCATGCTGTCCTCGCTCGCCCTGCACAAGCAGACCCATGTCGCTGGGGACCAGGGACGGGAACGGCTGCAAGCCAAGACCCTACCTGGTGACGCCCTGGACCAGAAGGTCTTCCTGGCCTTGCTGGGCCTGCAGCACACCAAAGACATCAAGCCTGTCCCGGCCGAGGAACCCCTGCCGGACGACAACCAAGCAATACAGCTCCAGACACTCAAGTGTCAGCTACCTCAGGATCCCGGCTGCACCAACATGCTGAGGCTGTCTCCTTTTGAAGCTTCTTCCCTGGGTGGTTCTCTCACAGTCCTCCCAGCTACCAAGGAGAGTGTGAAGCACCTGTCCCTGCAGCCCTTCCAAAAGGGCTTCATCATCCAGCCCGACAGTAGTATTGTGGTCAAGCCCATCTCTGGGGAGTCGGCCATTGAACTGGCTGACATCCAGCAGATCTTGAAGATGGCAGCTTCAGCGCCCCCTCAAATTAGTCTTCCGCCTCTCCCCAAGGCCCCTGTCGCCCCTCTGCAGGCGATTTTCAAACACATGCCCCCTCTGAAGCCAAAGCCCCTGGTCACACCACGGACGGTGGTGGCCACCTCAACACCCCCCCCTCTCATCAATGCCCAGCAAGCCTCCCCCGGCTGCATTAGTCCCAGCCTGCCCCCACCGCCCCTAAAGCTCCTTAAAGGCTCTATGGAGGTGGCTGCCAGCGCCCACCTGCTACAATCCAAGTCTGGGTCCCAGCCACACACGGCCATGCAGCTCTTCCTGCAGCAGCCACGAGTGGAGCTGCCTGGCCAGGCTGAGATGAAGACGCAGTTAGAGCAGGACAGCATCATCGAGGCCCTGCTTCCCCTGAGCATGGAGGCCAAGATCAAGCAGGAGATAACAGAGGGGGACCTCAAGGCCATCATGACAGGCCCTAGCAGCAAGAAATCACCAGCCATGCGAAAGGTACTCTATCCCTGCCGCTTCTGCAACCAGGTGTTCGCCTTCTCGGGGGTGTTGCGCGCACACGTGCGCTCCCACCTGGGCATCTCTCCATACCAGTGCAACATCTGCGACTACATCGCAGCAGACAAGGCTGCGCTCATTCGCCACCTGCGCACGCACAGTGGCGAGCGGCCCTATATCTGCAAGATCTGCCACTACCCCTTCACTGTCAAGGCCAACTGTGAGCGGCACCTGCGCAAGAAGCACCTCAAGGCCACCCGGAAGGACATCGAGAAGAACATCGAGTATGTGACCAGCAGCGCGGCCGAGATGGTGGACGCCTTCTGCTCCCCAGACACGGTGTGCCGGCTGTGCGGCGAAGACCTGAAGCACTACCGAGCCCTGCGCATCCATATGCGCACGCACTGTGGCCGCGGCCTGGGCGGCTGCCCCAAGGGCCACAAGCCCTTCGAATGCAAGGAGTGCAGCGCCACCTTCTCGGCCAAACGCAACTGCATCCACCACATCCTTAAGCAGCACCTGCATGTGCCAGAGCACGACATCGAGAGCTATGTCCTGGCAGCGGATGGCCTAGGCCCCAAGGAGGCCCCCTCGGCTGAGGCCTCAGGGAGGATGGAGGAGGGCAGTGGGGTCTTTGGCGAGCGCAAACCCCTCTCCAGCTTCCTGGAGTCCCAGAATGGCTATCTTCACACAGGCCCCACCCAGCTTCCACCTCCCCACGTCTCTGTCAAGCTGGAGCCAGCCAGCAACCTCTTAGTAGACTTCAACGAGCCTCTGGACTTCTCCCAGAAGGGCTTGGCCCTAGTCCAAGTGAAGCAGGAAAACACAGCCTTGTTCCTAAGCCCCTCTTCCTCTGCCCCCTATGACTGCTCCATGGAGCCCATTGACCTGTCCATCCCCAAGAACTTTAGGAAAGGAGACAAGGATTTGGCTGCTCCCAGTGAAGCCAAGAATCCTGAGCAGGAACCAGGGAGCAGGGAGCAAGCCTCTCCCTGTCCGCTGCCATGCCCGACTCTGCCAGTGACCTTGGGGCCCAGTGGGATCCTGGAAAAACCCTTGGCCCTTTCAGCAGCAGCCTCAACAGCCACTACTCTGGAAGCCCACGCTCAGCCCCTGCAGGGCTCCGTTCAGGTCGCTGTCCCCATTTACTCATCAGCCCTCATCAACAGTTCCCCTCTCTTGGGCAACTCAGCCCTCATCAGCAGCCCAGCCTTGCTGCGACCTCTGCGCCCCAAGCCCCCCTTGCTCTTGCCAAAGCCCCCTATGACAGAAGAGCTGCCTCCACTGGCCTCCATTGCCCAGATCATCTCATCCGTGTCCTCAGCCCCCACCTTGCTCAAAACCAAGGTGGCTGACCCAGGGCCCACAAGCACCAGCAGTAACACCCCAGCTTCAGACAGCTTAGGAGGTACTGTCCCTGAAGTTGCCACTGACACCACTGGCCCAAAAGAATCCAGCGACCCACCTCCTGCTGCCAACAGTCCAGAGGCATCTTCACCCACTGAGCAGGGGCCGGCTGGCTTGTCCAAGAAGAGGGGCCGGAAAAGGGGGCTGAGGAGCCGACCCCGAGCCAGCAGTGACGGGGTGGACCTGGACTCCAGTGGGGAATTTGCCAGCATTGAGAAGATGTTGGCCACCACAGACACCAACAAGTTCAGTCCATTTCTGCAGACAGCAGAGGATGATGCTCAGGACGAGCTGGCCAGCGCCCCTGCTGACCACAATGGGCCCAGTGACGAAGAGCAGGGCAGCCCCCCAGAAGACAAGCTGCTGAGGGCAAAGCGGAACTCTTATGCCAGCTGCCTGCAGAAGCTCAATTGTCCTCACTGCCCGCGAGTCTTCCCTTGGGCTAGCTCCCTCCAGAGGCACATGCTCACACACACCGGTAAGAGGGCCTGCCAGGCTATGGGCACTGCTTCCCCGTGGGGAGACTGGCCGCCGGCCAGGGTGGGAGGGAGAGTGAGGGGTGGGGTCGAAAGCATGCGACCCTGTTCCCATGGCCCCATTCTCCACTTCCTTTCCTCCTCAGTGTCAGAAGAAGGGGTTTTGCCTGGTGAGGCCGTGTGCTCAGGTAACCAGGGGACCTTTTCCTGTTGTCTGAGCCCTCTGAGGGCTGCTGGTGAAGGCAGGGATCAAAAGTAAGGGTTTTAGATGAAAAATGGCCCTAGACCCATCAGTGACTCACTGCCATCCATCCCATCCCGTCTGGAGAACGCAGCGGGATTGCCCACTTGGTTGCCCACAGCAGGTGGTAAGGGAAGTGGAACTTTGTGTGAAGTTAATGACCATGCACCTCTCATCTCAGTTATAATTTACTAAATGTTCATACAGGATTTATATCATTGCACTAAGAGTAAATTGGGTGAGATCCCCAACCTTTAGATAATATTTGGATAACCCAAATATTAATAGGTAGTACCTAAAACCGAATACAGAGTTATACAGTATAGGATTACCAGATAAAATGCAGGATAGCAGCTAAGTTTGAATTTCAAATAAGTACAAGTAATTTTTTAGGATAAATATTTTTCATGTAATGTTTGGGATATACTAAGAACTTACTAGGTTTTTATTTGAAATTCAGATTTAACTGAGTGACCTGTATTGTTAGTTGCTAAGTCTGACAACCCTAGGTAGGTAGTTGAGGGGAGGTGGTGGGAACTGTGTGAGCCGTGCTCTGTACCCAGGTGGAGACGCTTCATTCAGGGTTGATCATCACTTGAAGCTCCCCAGAAGCCCTCAGACGAAGGCCGTCTCTATAAATGGGGGATCAAAGACAGCGTGCAGAGGAATGGGAGGGGAGCGCAAGCTGCGGGGTCTCTGTGAGGCTGCTGGCCACACGGATGTGGCGTTTCTCTCTGGTGTGTGGAATCCAATGGTGGATGTCAGGCCTGCCTGTCCTTGGAGGGCTCTTTTAACAAGAACCAGAATTTCTAGATTTGTAAAGTATATGCTACATTTTCAGGCCACATTTTCTTTCCATTTGAAATGATGTAAGCCTGACAAAGTAAAGTAACGGTCCTAGTGAAGGAAAAAATCGGAAAAGGAGATGCCTCTTAAAGAGAAGGCGCGCTCCACACACACAGTCTCCCTTGCTACCCTGTCTGGGTGATGCTTTACGGTTGCCTACAGAGTCTGGAGGAGTATTTCTGTTCCTGCTTTTCAGAATACAGACAGTCTGGCTCTTGCCCTGCCTTTCCTCACCCCACTACCGCCCTCCCAACCACCTTCACCCAGCTAGGAGTCCTGTGCTTAAGGAGATGGGTCTCATGCACATTTTTCTCCGATGAGGCCACTTATTCCCGGATGGTCTCTTCCTAGCGAACCAGCAGTCTCCCCAGGAGGACGGGCATGGCCAGGAGCTCCTTTCAGGAGCTGTGCCCGTGTCTGTGAAGAGGTCTGATATAAGCCCATTTGTGAAGTGAGTCATTTCCAATATCTGACTTTTGAGTATCAAAGTTTTCTAGCTGGTATCAAATTCAGTAGCGTCTGAAACCAAACAAGGAAGATGGGAGGTTTGTTGAAGACGGGGCAGGGTGGGGTAGGTGTAAATATAAGCATGTTCTGCCACTTCTCCCTTCCCGGTTCCTACACCCTCGGTGGCTGTGTCTGTGTCGGCCCCGTCCCTGAGGTCCTGTCATGCTGTGTTCTTACAGCAGGGCTGCAGGGCCTGACTGTGAGGGGAGCACTCAGGGTTGCTAGAGAAACCTTTCAGGGCCTGTCTTCATCACTGTCCCCAGAGGGCGATGTGGTCCACATTTTGCCAGAGGAAATGGAGGTTTGGAAAGTCTGACTTGCCTACGGTCATGAGAGTACTGAATAGTACGAGAGCTAGAGTTCAAAGCCAAGGTCAAGATCCCTGCAGCTGCCCCATGGTCAGGGTGGTGTGGCTGCTGGTCTTGTACAGGTCATGCCTCCTCCCTCCCTGTATCCTCCCGTCCCCGTGCGGAAGATTGGGAAGAGGTTTGAGAAAAGGTTAGAAGACAGATGTGGACCAGAGTACTGTATATCAGAGACTTAATGACCACAGAATGGTGTTAGCCACACGCACAGACACACATAAAGGTTGGCACCCAGTGGGCCTTTAGCTTCCTTTGCTGTTTCACGGCTTCAGCTTCGAGCAGCAATCTCAGCATTACCTCTGTTAAATCGTTTTATAGAGCACTTGGTGTGCCTGGTGCTGTGTTAGAACACTTCCCATTCATCAAGTGCTGGAGCTGGACAGAGCCTGGGGAGCCTTCTGACTCACCCCCTCTTCCACAGACCGATGGTTTTCTGGTAGGCAGCTCTGCTGTTGAAGAATCTCTGAGCTGCCTGCCTCCGGCTCCCCAGCTTTCTGTGACGTGCTCCCTCTAGAAACTTTGAAATAAGACTGAGGCTCACACATAAGAGCAGTTAAACATGGACATGAAATGACCCTGTGAACAGTGTTATACAGGGAAGAGTTTTTTGTTTTTTGTTTTTCAGTTGTAGCTGCACTCCAGCCCACAGCTTTGAGCTGTACCCGTTTTAGATTGCCTTTAGGCCAGCTGTGTCTGTACCATGAGAGCCAGCCTTCTCCTGACCTCTTGGCAAATGCATAGAGTTATCATCTTGTCAGTCTGTTGTCTCATAGACATGTTTCCAGTCCACCCCACCCTCCAAACAGTCAGCGCTGAGTAGACCAGGTGTTGAGGGTGCAGTTAGGGGTTCACTGCTGCTGTGGGCAAGGGGCGCCAGGTTTCAGCCCTTTATGTCTGCGTAGCTCAGGTTCTAGGAATTGAATTGTGTCTTATGAGGAAGCTGGCGTCAGCTGTCAGATTTCACATCCCCTGGCACTCCCCATTCACAGCTGAACTGCTCCTCCACTCTTCCTTCTCCTAGCACGATGCCCTGTTGATCAGGAACACTTCCTGGTTCCTTACCTTTCTGTGCGTGAACGGTGTTGCCTCTCCACTGTCCCTTCCTTTTCCCCCTTGTGAGCATTTTGTGTTTTAGGCCACAGGTGGCAGACTGAGTGCCAGCAGTGGACAGCCAGTCCATTTCGACCCTGTCCTCACCTTCTTTCTCCTCAGAGCATGAAGGGCTGGGGCCCTGCGATGTATCAGGTGCCCTCCAGTTCTGACATTCTGGGGTCCCTGGCTCACTATCTCCCCGTTGGTTTTAACCCCTTTTCTTTACCAGCCTGGGGCCCTCCCCACTTACGTCTCCAACCCTCTGCTCTTGGGCCATAGGCATCACAGTTAAAATCAGAAAGATATGCAAACCTGAGTGTAAATCTCTCTTGACACCAGGTATGTTTGGCTCCTTGTAATTTCCCTAAGTGGTAGCTTTGGCCATTTAACTGAGCCAGTCCTGAGCACACCTCTACCCAACACAGGAAGAAAGGAACCTTCATTGAGAGGTCAGGGGTGGTGGAGAGAAGTGTGGGGTGTGAAGCCACATCATGAGCCTTCTTCTGTGTTTATTCGTGTGCTCTCTATTGCCCCCAGTGCCTGCCAGATAGTATTGTTAAGTATAAAAGTTCTCTCTTCCTTTTTTGACTGTTCTATGAGAATGAAATCTGGTTGGTGATGGTTTTTACCACATTGGGGTGGAGGGCTATCTCACGTCTCTGGTACAAAGGTAACTTCTTGTGGTTACAGGTACATTTTAAAACACACCTGCTAGCCCGGCTGGTGTGGCTCAGTGGTTAAGCGTCGACCCATGCACCAAAAGGTTGCTGGCTTGATTCCTGGTCAGGGCACATGTCCAGGTTGTGGGCCAAATCCCCAGTGGGGAGCATGCAGGAAGTGGCCAGTTGATGTTCTCTCTCATTGATGTTTTTCTCTCTCGCTTTCTCTTCCCCTCTCTCTAAAAATCAATAAAGAAAAAAATAAAATAAAACACCCCTGTTAAAGCATTAATTTGTAGTAGTTACCAAGTAAATAAAGTCATTTGCTTCTTCCCACATAGATTACCAGTCAGCAAGTTTGAAACCTGTACAATTATAACTCCTGAAAGGGCTCATGGTTTGCTCTGCCCATGCAGTTGGAAAGCACCTGCTATTTGAAATGTAAGACTTGTGCAGTAACATGTGAACTTCTAAAGACTGCCCTTAGTGTCCCTTTGGGAATCTTCACAATTGAGACTGTACTTTGGCATCATTATTTTGTTTTCTGAATTTAGCATTAATATGAATCTTCATCATGGGACATCAGCCTGGCTGTTATAAAGTGGAATATTTACCAACTTGAAAATTACAGAGTAAATCATGTAGTAGGTAGAAGTAAGAAACCAATTGTTTTATTTGAAATCAAGATTCGTATCATAGTTCATAGTCACAACTTGTGACTTCTCTCAGCCCAGCTCTCTCCCTCGCATCTGGCCTGACTCAGAGAAGTCGGAATGTTGCCTTTTGTTAATAAGATGGTAAAGGAAAAGTTTTATTTTTCTTTTTACTTAAAACAGAGTCCAAATAATTAGTAAATTTTATTTTCACTGTTTAGTGAAAAGCAGGAATAATTTGGAGGGTGCGCAATTAACATTAAAATACATTTAAAGCTATTCTTGACTCAAAAGCGTGATTTTTTTTTTTAAGGACATCCTTATAATTTTAGCAGAAAACACCTGTTGAGCTCATGAGGGTAAATTTAGAGAGTGGGAGGGTCCCCCGTGGTGCCATGGGCCCTGTGGAGCTCTTCATAAGTGTGCGTGCCAGGTTCCGGGCCTCTGGTCCCACCTCCCGGGTTTATGATTCCCTGGTCTCTGATTGTTCTAGGCATCTGTATTCTTTTTTCTTCTTCTTCCTTTTTTTAGTTAATTTGTTTTTCTTTAATGTACTGGGGTGACATTGGTTAATAAAAGTATATAATTTTCAAGGATACAGTTCCATAATACATCACTATACAGGCATCTGTATGTTTAAAAAGCTCCACAGGTGATTTGGACACTGCCGAAAGGGTCTTTCAGCTCTGGAGGGAATGGCCGTCCCTTCTTTGGTTAGTATTGAAGTACTGAGGCTCGGATTTGGTGGGGCAGTGGTTCCCACGGTGCTGGGCCCCACACCAGCCCAATCTGCGCAAGTGGCACTTCCAGAGTTGTGGGACTGGGAGATGATGATGCTAGTCCTTTCTCCCCTTCTGGGAAGCCCAGGTACCAGGCCCGTGCCGCGTCTCCCTCCGTGAGGGCCTGGGCTTGTGCGCCTGCACTAGTCAGGCCCCCACAATTGTAGGGAGCTGTGCAGGGTGACTTTCCTGCCCCCCCCCCCCCCATCCACAGTCATAATGAAATTTTATCAGTTAACCCAAAATTTCCTTTTGAGCTACCTTTTTCTAGTCTGTAATCCAGTCTGGATTCATGCATTTAGTGTCATGCCTTTTTGATTTTTTATTATTTTATGCTGATTATCTTTTATTCCCATCCTCTCACCCTGCTCCCCTTTGGCATCCATCAGCTTGTTCTCTGTCTCTATGAGTCTGTTTCTGTTTGGTTTATTCATCTGTTTTTTGTTTTAGATTACATGTATAAGTGAAATCATACGGTATTTGTCTTTCTCTGTCTGACTTATTTTACTTAGTGTAATACCCTCTAGGTTCATCTGTGTTATCATAAGTAGCAAAATTTCATTCTTTTTATTGCTAAGTAATATTCCACTGTGTGTGCGTGAGACACACACACACACACACACACACACGCACGCACCACATCTTCTTTATCTGTCTGTCGTTGGACATCTAGGTGCTTCCCTGCCAAGGCTCTTACTGGTAATGCTGCAGTGAGCATAGGGGAGCATGTATCTTTTTCAACGAGTGTTTTTGTTTTCTTTGGATAAATACCAGGAAGTGGGATTTCTGGATCACATGGCAGCTCTATTTTATATCTTTTCCGTCATTTTTTAACACGTGCGTCTGATTGTGGCATTCCCAGGGTTACAAGACAGACTGGGCTGCAACTCTGAACTCCTGTTTGTTAGTACACAAACCTTTTACCCTGTTAAGTCAGAAACTAGGACCTTAGGATCTGGAGACGGTGGGGGGAAGCAAGAATCCAGTGATACAGTAAATGATTTACCCCATCTTCTCTCTCCTAATCACTTCCCTTCTCCCCTCCTTTCTTCCTTCCTCTTTCTGTCCACACTTTCTGCTCTGGTTCTTGCTTTTCCCCTCACACCCATCCACGCAAACAAGGGACACGTTGCAGAGGAGCTGGCTTACATTTTAACACATGTTTGCAGTACAGAAGGAATCCAAATAAAAGGAGAGGATGGACAAACCAAAGCAGATAGCTCCTGGAGAGGAGCGGTGTGCTCCTCTCTAACAGGTGACCACATTGGTGGAGTTGGGTGGGATCAGGCTGTTGAGTGCTTTTTCTTCAAATTCAGGTCTGTTCAGTGGAGCACATGACCTCCTGGTGCAGACTCGGATTTGTTGGTCACTTATTTACTTCTAGCAGGAGCTTAGAGCAGGGAACAAAGAACCTTTCATAATACCGAGAGCAGACCTCCTCTGACTTGCTGGATAGGGACATAGTGACCTTGGGCAGAGGTCACTGCAGGATGGCTCATCAAGTCAGACAGGAGCCATGCTGGGAAGTCAGAACTCCCCACCTCCCTCTCTGTAGGAGGCCAGGCCGGCCTAGGTCAGGCGGAGGAAACGGGCCTCCAGAGACGTCCTGGGTTCCAGAGTTCTGCAGGAGGGCCTGGGCATCCCCTTTGACATTCCAGTGCGCATAGTTCTTGCAATGCTAGAAATGATTAAAAGCTATCTTCTCCTTGTGACCAACGATAGATGTTCTCTTGCTGTGCTCTGAAATCCCTTCACTCATTTTTTGTTATTGTTGTTATTTAAGATTTTTAATTGCAATACTATTGTTTTGCTTTAAACATACTTGGTTTCATTGTTAACTTTTAGTATTTTGAAGTCAAAATGTTCATTCCATCCCACTCAGACTAAGGGAAAATGATCATTTGACTTGTGTTCAATATTTTTTTATGTGTTTTCTTAAATTTTTTTAAAGAATGGGGTGGAGGGGGGAGCAAATGCCAATAATCCCAGGAGAATGACTCAGAAGCGACTTTTCTTTATCATTGCAGTAGAAAGCCAGATAAATATCTATTTTTTTTCCTGCTTCAGGTCAGAAACCCTTCCCTTGTCAAAAATGCGATGCCTTCTTTTCTACCAAATCTAACTGTGAACGGCACCAGTTGCGCAAACACGGAGTTACCAACTGTTCCCTGAGAAGAAACGGGCTTATTCCCCAGTCAAAAGAGAGTGATGTTGGACCCCATGATAGCACAGGTAGTGCTTCCAGGTGATGGACAGGAGGAGAGGGACAGGAGAGCCCTCGCTCAGCCCCGGTTAGCCTTGGTTAGCTTCCTAGAAACTGTGGGCCCTCGGAGCGTGGCGGGGCCGCCTTGCCCACCTCCCTGCAGGCCTCCAGGTCAGAACAGCGGGCCCTGCCGAGGGTGGGAGCATGCAGCCGGGTGGGGTGTGGCAACAATGGTCGGTAGTGCTCCCAGATGGCCCTTCTGAGCTACTGGGAGGGTCTGTCCATCTCCCAGCAGACCCCGTAGTCAGCCATGGGCCCTGCTGGAGGTGGCATGGAAGGGAGGGTGTGTTAGCTCTTGGAAGCAACACATCTAAAAGGGATGTGAAACCGTAAAAGCTTGGGGTGTTGTTTTCTTCAGCCCCAGCCTCTGCCAATTCTGCGAAGCAGGGATGGGCTACACAGATGTCAGGGTATTTGCAGGAACTAGGGACGCCCAGCCCTTGACAGGGAGGGGTGGGGTGGGGTGTTTTTCTTTTCAATGACTCTCTTCCCAGTAAAACAAAACTTTGTCTTGTTTGAAAAAGCACTGTGCATGTCCTTTCCTTAATCACATCTCTGCTTGACCTGAATCCGGGTATTATTCTCCTGTGCTGATACACGCTTCCTTCCTCCAGCCCTACAGAGCAATTAACGGCTGCCCAGTGCGTCTCCCGCACATTGCCCCTTACAGCTTCTGTGTTGACTCATGTCCTCTGTTCAGTGCACTGTCATCTCCAACCACTGGGATCTAGCACCCCTCACCCCTCAAAACAATAAAAGAAACTGGCTGCTGCAGGTTCCTTAGACCCATCGCTACTGGCCATGGGTTGATAACAGTCTTACAGGTGTGGATTCTCTGGGGCCATTCTGGAAGGCTTGACATTCCCCGTTGCTTGAAGCAGATGACGTTCCCCCAAAATGTATTTTTCTAGGGTTGTAGTTGTGTCCTATACTTCTCTTCCTCAGACTTGGGTGGGGGTGGGGAGCAGTGTTGCCTGGGAGTCGTGTCCCACCCCGTCGGTGTGGATAGAGGGCCAGGCTTTAATCCCAGGCCCCCTATCCTCATCTCAGTCACTGTGGGGGGGGGGGGGGGGTAGCATATCCAGGAAGAAGATTTGGTCTGGAACCCTCTGCTTTTTCCCCACACCTCCCACCGAGACCTAGTGAAATGAGTCCTTGAACTGCCAAGCCCTCTAGTTAAAATCAACCCCTCTGAGTGTGTGAAAATGGAAGCCGGTCTCCCGCCTCCACCCCTAGCTTCCATTCGCACGTGACTTGCCAGGACCTTTGTGTAAAGAAAGATGTGGACTGCCACAGATCCTGCCATGGCTTGGATCCCCTGGACCAGAGGTGGTGGACAACCTGCTGTTCAACCCTAGGTGGCCCACGTGACACTGAGAGAACTCGGGGTGCTGCGTGCCTGGGTGGCAGCTGGTTCAGGAAGCAGCAGTGTGACTCCACGGCGGCCCCACAGGGAGGCGAGAAGCAGACATGGCAGTGGCCGAGGGTTTGGTTTCAGAGTTTGCAGACAGTCTACAGGTCTGAGTGTGATGACCGAGCTCGCTGCGCTGAGCTCCCAGACTGCACTGAGCACCCCACCCTGAGGCTCCTACTGGACCGAGGGCTGCCTGGGAGTCTGCAGGCACCACGCTGATCAGGACGCACGTCTCTGCGTCTTCGCTTCAGCACCAGGTTTCACAGGGTGGGTGGGTTTAGTTCTCAAATTGGCTGTTTTGTTTTTCCAAGTCCTGTCAGAGTCCTTTCTCACCTCCGCCCTGTAGGTTTTCTTTAAAGGAAAAAGCCTCTGGAAAAAAGAGAATTCACGGAAAGTTGTAACGTGAAACCAGCCAAGAGAAAATATATGTTTGGTGTAATTGTGGTCACGGTTCGTGCCCAGAAAGAGGATGGAGATTTAAGGAGAGGGAAGAGTGGGGAGGTGCAGTTCAGTGACTTCAGGGAAAATTTTTAAAACCAGGTGAGCATAATGGAGGGGTGACAGTTCCCTCGGGCGCTCCTCCCATGAAGCTGCAAGTAGGGCCTTAGAGGAAGACCATAAAAACAAAGGCAGGAAATGACCAGGGAAGTTCTTGAGGGGTTTTCTAGATTTATATGCCTGAGTTGCTTTTCTTAAAATCCCTAAACATGCTTTATAACATGGGTCTGACTTTTCGATCACAGAAGGTCTTTCACGAAAATACACCCTGGGTTCCCTGGAGGAGTGCTGGAAATGCTGGGGGGCGGCTCTGCTCGGCGGGCGGCACGCTGCTCACTCAGTTAAACTGAAACTCTTCGCCACTCTTGTGGCCAGAGCTGCTGGCCCACTCTGCCCTGAGGGACACGGAGTTTTCCTCAGAGGGTGCCTGCAGGATCCTGCGTGTCTGTGGGCACCTGCCCTGCCTTTCTCAATCAGCATAAATGTGAAAGTTTTGCAACTCCCTCCGCGGTGGCCGCCCTTCCCAGCCAGAGCCCAGGGTCAGTGTGCCCAGCACCGGAAGTGCTCCTGCAGGTGCAGAGCGGACAGCAGCTGGACAGCACTGCCCTGCCCGTCAGGAGGCGTCTGGGCTGGTCCCTCTTCACTGCAGCTGAGGACCTGGAACTTCTAGGAGGCAGTACATTTTTCTTTGTTGAGCTGACGTGAACGTCTCCCCTTTCTATAGGAGGTAGTGCCATCAGGATCCTGTCTGTTTCCACTAGCAATTTTTTTAGCTTTAGCATCACAAATGAGGGATGATGAGTACAGAGAATTAAGGCGTTCAGGTGGTGGCACTGCTTATAAAGGTCATCAGCTACCTGTATTTGAAAATGTGGGGGTCTGAGGAGGGCAGGCATCAAAATAAGGACCTGTTATTTTAAGCTGGATATTCATGAGATGACGAGAAGAGGTTAAGTCTTTTGTTCCCAAGAATCACTAATGGAAATCAGTTGAGGTTGCTTAAACTGGAAGGGCCTGGGCTGTCCTGCCAAGATACTCCCCCTAGTGGAAGTTTGGCAGAGCGCAGCCAGTTCCTGCTCACCCGAGGAAGGCACTTGACCTCTCCCTGAATTCAGGGGAACCGCTCCCTTGTTCACACTGAGGGATGGCCCAGGGCTGAGAGCGACCTCATCTAGTGTATTCACTTGGGTTCAGTTTCAGAATGCATGTGATATTTTTTTCCACATTCATCTTCATACAGTCTACAGTTAAACTTTAAAATAATCCATGTTCCGGGCTGATTCCGAAGGCTCTGTCACAGGGGTGTTCGGAATCAGACGCCAGCTGGCTAATAAACAGCTCTTATTTGGAAAAAGTAAATAAATAAATAATCCATGTTCCTTAATAATTAAGAGAACCTAGAATGTGCTGGGAGAAAATAGCAAGTAACCAGAGATTAAGCCTCTTTTTTTTTAATATGACTACTACAAAACCATCAAATAAGAAACAGCGTCCTATATATTTTTTTAGCATAGAGTTCATACCAAAATCCATTTAAGAGATGCTCCCTATTGGAATGATTCAGGAAAATGAGCATCTGGTTTATTCTTAGAATATGGCCTCGACATTGGGGTGTATATCTCAGGATTCATCTTCAAACTTGTGAATAATTTTCAAAAATCATTGTCAGAAATTTGGCAGTCACACCATGATTGTTTCCTTCTGAACCCTCTTGAGATACCCAGGGGCTGCCCAAGGGTGCAGGCAGAACAAGAGCAGTGAGGGGCGCTGCAGGTGGTGGGAGGGAGCCCAGCGCCCCCGGCAGGTGTGACACAGGCCAGGCAGTGCCAGCCCCTTTGCCCCCCCCCCAAGACCACCTGGACGCAGGCAAGCAAGCCTGTGACTCAGAGTGGTGGGTGTGGGTGGACGCTGCCACATGTCGGGCGCGTCCTGAGGTCCAGGTGAGCTGAGTCTGCTGGCTCTAGCACGGTGCTCCGGGCTGTCCTGGGCGGGTGCGGTGCGTCTAACGTGTGCGCTGTGAAGCGGAGTCGCGGCCTGGTCAGTAGGCCGTTGGGCATAGTTGAACAGAGGTGTCAGCAGGCAGCCTCACCGCTATAGCGCACAACTGAAGGTCAGTGAGCCCGTTCAGCTCGAAGGGAATGAGGACAGTGCTTCTGATAAAGCCTGCCATCCGTGTGCTGTCATTAGTACTGCCACCATGCCATCCCTCGAGGAGGTCTCAAAAACGGGGGTTGACTGTCTCCATCTGTTTTTGCTCTGGAGAGTGGACAGGTAGGAACAAATTGAGAGACAGGAAATGCTTCCGCACCCTACATGGGGTCATCCTGACAGCAGCCAGGGAGGCCCACTGGTTTGCACGTGTCGCCTTTTGCCTTGGACCTCTGCCTGGAAATTAGGCATCAGGCGAGAGTGTGCTGTGGGCCATTTCATCATCACACACATGTTTGTGGTATTTGGGGGTGATACCATGTATGTTGCATGTTTGTGTGATCTCTGCACTCAAAAATAACTTTTACAGCTCAGCTCCTTCCACTTCCCTAGCGCTGTGAACCTCTGGAATGCACCACCTCTCCTCTCTCCGTTCCTCTGTCTGCTGCCCTCAGTCGCTCACACCTCCCTGGGCCTGAGCATCGCTGTGGGGGCGGGGGGCCCGGGCGCCGCCAGTGGGCAAGAAAGGGGCAGGGGTTCCGAAGCACAGCAAGCCCTGTGACCCCAGCCTGTGTGTACATGGAGATTCTTTCTGTCTTTTATAAATTAACCCCAAATCCGTTTAGGCCCTTGGGGATGGATGTAAGGAGTGATGATTCGGGCAGGCCCCGCTGAGCTTCACGACAGAGCCCTTGGAAGGGGCATGTGTGGTGACATTTGGTCTCAACCCATGCCCCTGTGCTTGCTCCCACAGACAGCCAGTCCGACGTGGAGACATCAGCCACAGGAGGCGAAGTGCTGGACCTCACCTCTCGGGAGAAAGAGCAGCCATGGTCAGGGGGGGGCCCTGAGCCCAGCCAGGTCAAAGAAGAGGTCCCCGTGGAGGAACTGACTCGGGGAGCCTTGGAGCCCGTGGATGGGGAGGAGCGGGGAGCCGCGGAGAGCCTGGAGCCCGAGGAAAAGCGCTGTGTGGAGGAGAGGGACGAGGAGGAAGACGGCCCAGAGGAAGACACGGTCAGCAACAAGAGCCTGGACCTCAACCTTGCCAGCAAGCTGATGGGCTTCAAGCTGGCCGAGGGCGACTCCAGTGCTGTGGGCAGCGGGAGCTCGGCCCAGCAGGACCAGAAACACACCTGCGACACCTGTGGCAAGAGCTTCAAGTTCCTCGGGACCCTGAGCCGCCACAGGAAAGCCCATGGCCATGAAGTGCCCAGGGAGGAGAGAGCACTCCCTCCGGAGGGCCAGGGCGAGAAGCGGGTAGCCGAAGGGTCGACGCCTGAACCCGCTGCCGTCACCACCGCTGCCCCTGACCTGGAGCCAGAGGAGAAGCCCGAGCCCCCGGCGGAGGGGGAGGCCGTGTCGGAAGGCTCAGCGGAGAAGCAGAGTGAGGAGGCCGAGGGCACCTCCGACGGGGAGGGCGCAGCCGAGAAGAAGGCCTCAGAGAAGAGTGACGATGACAAGAAGCCAAAGACAGACTCCTCCAGAAGTTTGCCCAGCAAGGCAGACAAGAGGAAGAAGGTCTGCACCGTGTGCAACAAGAGGTTTTGGTCCCTACAGGACCTGACCCGGCACATGAGGTCCCACACGGGTAAGGGCAGCCGGCCCCAGGCCTGCTGAGGGCCCCTCAGTGCGGAGGGGCGCCTGCCCAGAGCAGGGACAGAACCCAAACCGGAGGCGGCGGGTTCAGGGTTCGCGCTGAGCTGCACACGCCCCTTGAGCCCTGTGCGCTGGGACTTTAACAAGCTGTTCTCTTAGCGCCTGGAATGTGCAGGCTCCTGTAGGGGCAGCAACCGGTCCCTCTGCGGTGCTGTCTTCCCTCTGAGCCTCAGCCTTGTCTCTAGGACGGGAGTGATGGCTGTTCTCTCCTGTCAGCACCTAGGAGAATGTGCGTGCTGGGCATTGGGCCGTGGTCTCCTGGAGGCCTGAGCCTGGAAGGACTGGGGTGGGGCTCTGCAGCCGTCTGGGTTCGTCTGCTGCTGGCCTTCAGCCGGGAGCTTGGTGTACCGTGGGGGTCTGCTCTGCATAGGTTCTTGCTCCTGGAGCCGGACAGCTGCAGCATTGAGGCTGCAAACCCCTCAGCAGGGGATGTTGTTGAGTAGAAAAGAGACCTGGATACACTCATGAAGCCAGAAGATACAAGCAACCCTCCCCCATCCTCCGAATAAAGATTGCCCAGGCCCCAGTCTTGGTCTCAGCTTTCCTCCTCCCTCCCGGTGGGCAGGTGCACAGCCCGGCTCCCCGAGCACTGCCCCTGCCTCCTGCAGGAGCTCTGCGGTGAGCTGGGAGTTAGGGCTCTGGGGCTGGCCCCCCAGCAGACAGATTCTTGAACTCCTGGCAGGTGGTGGGTCTCAGCTGCTCACAGCCCAGCATTTGTGCGCCAGAGGGAAGCCCCAGCTGCTTCATACCAGGACGCAGTGTGTCTCGTGCCTTTGATGTAGGAAGGGCCACTGTCGTAAAGCCCTCAGAAACAGTGCCTGTCCCTGTGGGAGGGCCACTGCTGCGGTCCTCCGAGATTCTGGTCCCTGGATCGCTGTGGAAAGCCTGGGCTGAGAGGTGAAAGGGAGAGGATCCGTGGCTGGCACCTGCGTTTCTGCTGCCCCATTTTGCCGATTCAGACTAATGAGAGGGTTTCCCTGCAAGGGAGGGTCTCGGGCCTGCCACGCGCACCCCTTGCCTCTCGTGGCTGCTGCTGTGTGGAGCTGAGGTGGTTCCCAGTGGTCTCACGTTAATGCACATGATTTCTCCCCTTGTTGCTCCAGGAGAAAGGCCGTACAAGTGTCAGACCTGCGAGCGAACCTTCACCTTGAAGCACAGCCTGGTTCGCCATCAGCGTGTCCACCAGAAAGCCAGGCATGCCAAACATCACGGGAAGGACAGCGACCGGGATGAGCGGGCCGAGGAGGACAGTGAGAGCGAGTCCACCCACAGCGGCAACAACCCCGTCTCGGAGAGCGAGGCTGACTCGGCTCTGCCAGCCAGCAGCCACATGGCTGCCACTCGGGGCCGGAAGGAGGGCCTGGCCGAGGGTGCCGGCCGCAGGGAGGGCAGGGCTGTGGGCCGGACGGCCGGTGCCGGGCAGGCTGAAGCCAGCAGGAGTGCTCCCAAGGCTGCTCCCACGGGCAGCCCCAAGGAGCAGGGGCCTCAGGGTGACCCTGACCCAGAGAGCCCCGTGGCCCTCATGCAAGACCTGCTGGAGCGGAACAGCAAGAGGCCTGCCCACCCCATCCTGGCCTCCACCGAAGGTGCCTCGCCTCTGCTGGGGATGGAATGACAGCCCCTCCTGTCCCCCAGCACGCAGACAAAAGCCAGCAGTGTCCTGAATCTGTTTCTTGAGGTGTCCTCAGTGCCCTTCAGCTGTTGGAGAGACGAGGAGGGAGAGGGCCCTCTTGGTGCCATAGCCTTACCGCGCCCGTGCGGAGACCAGCCCGGGCCGTTCGCGTGCCTTAACTACTTACGGTCCTTCAGTGTCGGCCTGGGTGTTGTGTTGTCCCAAAATGACTTTTAAAAAACAAAGCAGATATTTTAATGAATTATTTGGAGAGGACCTTGTTCATTTAAGCATTACCGTCACCTTCTGTGTTGGGTGTGTGCGCTTGTCCTCGCGGATCTGTGACGGCAGCCTTTGTTGTGTGCGCTGGAAGCAGAAGGAAGAACGTGCCCTTGGACACCGTGGCCAATAACTGGAAAAAATGATGTGAATTTCATGTAGGTCACCAGAGGAGAGATGGAGGAGATGCTCGTTTCTCAGACCTTTCTCTGTCTGCTGTAGGGTAGAGCTGTGATTGGTCCTCGGTATAGCAGGATGTGGTGGGTAGAGGTTTCCAATTCGGTTCAGGCCAAAACCAGGACAGATTCTAGCTTCGACCTCATACGTGTTTCCACTCTCAGCATTAGACATGCTATTTCATGTTCAAGTTTCAAGACGTTTGTTCTTAACTTAGAAGAGTTACCCTGGCAACTTAATCTATGGAGAATACACACAGATGTCATGTATCTGATTTCCCCCCCGTCAGTATATATATTATTAATATTATTATTATTATTATTATTAGTTCATCAGTTTGCTGGTCTCTGCAGTCAGCAGAAACGAATGGGCAATATTTGTCCTGGAGACCTGGGTGCCCCAGGCCCTCGTGTGCGTGTCTGCCCGCAGCTTCCTTGCCACCCTCGGGCGGGGCTCTTCTACTGTACTTAGACAGCCTTTCTCCCGACTGCAGAACCCGCAGGGGCCTCCGCACACCCGAGGGAGCGGGAGGGTGCGTGCAGCCGGCCTTCTGCCCCAGCCTCCCGCGTGTGCTGCTGTCGTTTGCAAAGTGAGGAAATACTACTGGTAATGAAACTGCACATGCAAGATTGAAGATGAGAAATAGGTTTATATTTACCTTCCTGCGATTTGGGATTGGTGCTTGAAGATAAATGTGTTGTTTCTAGTTTCTGAAATAACCTGAACCCCTGGGTGCAAAAAGGCAGGATTTATTTAAAAAAAAAAAAAAAAAAAAAGTGTGAGCATCCTATGCAGGCAATAGACTCCCTCACTGCAGATGCAGCAGTGAGGACAGCCATGTCCTACTGTAGCTGAGCTTGTGCTCAGCGTCCTGTCCTCCAGCTGGGCCTCTGGGCGCCCGGGGGAGCCCGCTCCCCTGCCGCCCTCCAGGGCCCTCCCGTTTCTGGCGGCCAGAATCCAACCACCCAGACTTCAAAGGAAGATATGTATTCTTGAAATAATGAAAAGTGCTATCTTTGCATGTGAAAGGAAAAAAGTTGAGGTATATGTAATTTTTAACTGTATTAGGGATGTATGAGCCCGTTCCAAAACGAGGTTTCATTTACTGTAGGTGAGGACACCTCAGAACCAGTGATCCCATGTCACTCGGCCTGGCGGTTTGCTCGGAACCAGTGCGTGCCTCCCCTGTTATATGACGACCGTTCCTACTTTTGTTGTTATTTGGGGTGTCTAGTGTTTTCTTTCCCTTTGCAGCTCTCCACACTAAACTCCCGGCACTGGAGCGGCCGCCACCGCGCTGCGGTGCCGGCAGGAGGCCCGGCGGCCGCTCCGGTGATCACTCTGGACTCGGAGCTTTCCTAGTGCTCATCTGTGCCCTGGTAGCGGTCTCGCCACGTTTACGTGAGGTCGAGAGACGGACTGTTTGTTTGTTCTGCCCCTCCCCCAATATTAAACTGTGAAAATTGTGATTTGTTTAAACTCTGGGTGAATCGTAGCTTAGTTTGCATGTCCAGCTAATTTGTTTCTATTCATTTTGTTTGATTCTCCTTCTCCTCTCAGGGCTTTTACAAAAATATATATATATATGGATCTTCTGAAAAGGTTTTGAGGTGCAAGTTTTTCTCTTGTTTTTCCCTTTGATTTGTGGACACAATGCTGAGATTCAGTCACTACATGAAACTCCTGGCTGTGAAAACAAACAAAACCCGAAGGGCTGTCCGAGCGGCGGGGAAGCTGGGTGGCGGCGGACGCCAGCTTCAGAAAGACCCTCGCGCCTCAGCCCGTCGCCTCTTTCCTCTCCTCCTTCAAGAAGGAAGTTGATCCTGGTGATTTCAGCCCGTGCATTAAACAGGAAACAATGATGAGTGTGTAGAGTTCATATTTTTCTAAAGGGAACTTAAAAACTGCTGCTACATGTTATGTACAAAACTGGTTTATGCCACATGAACAGAATCACAAGATTAGTTTTGGTACTTTTGTTCCTTTGTATTCAGTTGTATAGTACTTCCAAATTCAGAATGAGAAGACAGCTGTATCAAACCATCTAAGCAATAAATGTTATATTTAAAATGGCACATTGGTGGTCTCACAGTTGTCCTTAATCCTGTCAGTGTGTCTTGCTTCCTGGCAGCACGGGCGTCCGTGGAACCCAGGACAGCTCCATCACCCGGTGGCCCTTGAGCCCAGCTGCAGGGGGCCTCTGGGGTGAGGAGTCGGGAGGAGCGTGCTGTGGTGGTGACGATCGCTAGGGCCAGGGGTTCTGTTTTCCAGGCAGCAGCTCGTGAGAAGTGCCCTTTGCCTTTGCACTCTCTTACCAGTTACAGGGTTAGAGTCGCCCCTGGGTGGGGGAGAACCCCGTAATTCAAGGGAGGGGCCTGGAGGGGCCGGTGATCCCAGGGCTCGGGGCAGAGCAGGTCCAGACACAGGCTCGAAGACTTGTCATTGAAGCACAAGCAGGAGTGGTTCTCGGACAGCACCAGCAGGAAGCTGGGCCCCAGGGCAGCTGGGCTGACACTTCAGCGTGCTGACCACACTGGAGTCCTACGCGCCAGGTCCCAGCAGCACGAGAGTTGGGGACCATGCTGCTGCCCCCACCACACACGGCCCAACACATGGGAGACTGGCTGTGCCGAGATGCCAGTGAGGTCCCGACGGGGACTAAGTGAAACAACCAAATGACTCAGAACTGGGTCTAGCAAACAAGCAGCTCACAAGAGAGTAGCCTCCCTACCTCTCCGCTCCTCGGGGGGGTATGATGCCAGCCACCAAACAGCATTTCCAGCCTCCAGATGGATGGAGTCATTTCCTGACAGAATTTGGGTTGTCCCGGTCCCTGTGAATAGCGAAGGGGCAGGGGACTGCCATAAAAAAGATGCATTTAGAGCTGTGGGAAACGCCCTCCTCCCTCCTGACTCCTTCCTGCGGTATGGAGCAGAGCCGGATGCATTGGAGAGACACACAGAGGGTGAGAAGGTGGAATTTATTTATCAAAACAGTCTGCCTGTCAAGAAGAACTCTGAGGTTGAAGATACGTGTCAGTGTGGTGCCTCTCCCACGTCTGGATGTGAGCCCACTGGGCCCACAAAGAATGGCTGTCCTCTCCAACCCCACACCTCGATTCAAACCCCACTCCTCTCCAACACCACCACTCCTCTCCAACAACCCCACTTCTCAACACCACCACTCCTCTCCAACACCATCACTCCTCAACACCACCACTCCTCTCCAACACCACCACTCCTCAACACCACCACTCCTCTCCAACACCACCACTCCTCTCCAACACCACCACTCCTCAACACCACCACTCCTCTCCAACACCATCACTCCTCAACACCACCACTCCTCTCCAACACCACCACTCCTCAACACCACCACTCCTCTCCAACACCACCACTCCTCTCCAACAACCCCACTCCTCAACACCACCACTCCTCTCCAACACCATCACTCCTCAACACCACCACTCCTCTCCAACACCACCACTCCTCAACACCACCACTCCTCTCCAACACCACCGCTCCTCAACACCACCACTCCTCTCCAACACCACCACTCCTCTCCAACAACCCCACTCCTCAACACCACCACTCGTCTCCAACACCACCACTCCTCAACACCACCACTCCTCAACACCACCACTCCTCTCCAACACCACCACTCCTCTCCAACACCACCACTCCTCTCCAACACCACCGCTCCTCAACACCACCACTCCTCTCCAACACCACCACTCCTCTCCAACACCACCACTCCTCAACACCACCACTCCTCTCCAACACCACCACTCCTCTCCAACACCACCGCTCCTCAACACCACCACTCCTCTCCAACACCACCACTCCTCTCCAACACCACCGCTCCTCAACACCACCACTCCTCTCCAACACCACCACTCCTCTCCAACACCACCACTCCTCAACACCACCACTCCTCTCCAACACCATCACTCCTCAACACCACCACTCCTCTCCAACACCACCGCTCCTCTCCAACACCAACAACACCACTCCTCTCCAACAACCCCACTCCTCTCCGACACCACCACTCCTCTCCAACAACCCCACTCCTCAACACCACCACTCCTCTCCAACACCACCACTCCTCAACACCACCACTCCTCTCCAACACCATCACTCCTCAACACCACCACTCCTCTCCAACAACCCCACTCCTCTCCAACACCACCACTCCTCAACACCACCACTCCTCTCCAACACCACCACTCCTCAACACCACCACTCCTCTCCAACACCACCACTCCTCTCCAACCCCGCTCCTTTCCAACACCACCGCTCCTCTCCAACAACCCCGCTCCACTCCAACACCACCGCTCCTCTCCAACACCACCAATCCTCTCCAACACCACCGCTCCTCTCCAACAACCCCACTCCTCAACACCACCACTCCTCTCCAACACCACCACTCCTCAACACCACCACCACTCCTCAACAACAACAACACTCCTCAATACCCCACTTCTCTCTCAGACATCCATCTCGGGTCTGCGCTTTCTTACACCCTGATAGATGCGGGAAAAGCCCTGGTTTCAGCTCTCTAGTTTCTAGGCAGTTGTCCTGAGAGAGGAAGGGAGTTAGGCACTTTCGAAGTGGACCTTTTCTACAGATTTTATTTCTTGACTCCTATCATGTTTGAACCTCATCATTAAGAATGCTGCATTTATCCCTGACCAGTTCGCTGAGCGGTTAGAGCATCAGCCCATGGACCAGAGAGTCCCGGGTTCGGTTCCCACTAAGGGCACGTACCTCAGTTGCAGTTTGTCCCCGGCCCTGGTTGGGGTCGTGTGGGTGGCAGCCACTCGATGTGTCTCTCTCACATTGAAGTTTCTCTCTTTTTCTTCCTCCCTCTCTCCCTCCCGCTCTATCTGAAGATAAATGCAAAATTGTCCTTGGGTGAGGATAAAAAGAAAAAAAGAACAGTGCATTTATTAGATGAAAGGATGGGGTTTCGGTTTTCTCTTCTGTGCCTTCAGAGAATCCCAGTGAAGCACAGGAGACCCTCTTCAGAGACCCAAGGGCTGTCTTCCCCGAGGCCCTTCCTCCCTTCAGCCATGTTCTCCACATTGGTGTGACTTTCCTATTATAAGGGAAATACGAAAGGAGCTTATGTTTGGAAATCAGTTTTACTCTGTAGCTGTCGAACCTTGGCTGTGGGTGTTCTGGTTGTCTGTCCTGGCCCAGGACCCCAGGAACATTGATTGTGCACACTCCACAGGTGTTTGCTGGGCATCCGATGTGAGCCAGGCACCGTCCTGGCGTGGAAAACATGGCAAGGAGCAGAATGCTTCTCCCCTGTGGGAGCTGGGTTTTAGAGTGGGCAGTAAACAGACTAGGGGGGAAGATGCAGAGTTAGTACAAGTCCAAAGGGAGGAGTAGGCCATGAGGGGCAGGGCCCGGGAGGGACTGGGTAGGTCAACTAGCAAGGTCAAGGGACAACAAGCAGTGAGAAAGTCACCTGCCCAGATGTCTGGGAGATGTCGGCCCTGCAGAAGCCACGTGGTCGGCGGGTGAGCAAGGGCAGAGCAACAACGGGTGAGGGTGAGGAGGGGCCCGCTGGCTGCGTGTGGAGACAGTGGGGCGGTGGAGATAAGGGCAGATGCAGAGAGAGCACCGAAAGGCAGCCACAGTAATGCAGGCGAGAGATGGCACTGGCTTGGGGCAGAGTGATGGGGGTGAAGATGCTGAGAAGTTGAATTTAGGGTATATTTCAAGGGGTGCCAACAGGAGGGTCTGATAGATAAGATACAAGAGCTACAGAGAGGTCAAAGCTTTGAGAGTCACCCCGAACACAGGCTCACAAGTTGGCTGTGAAGTCTAGATGTCTGGAATGAACTGTTCCTTTTTAAATGTCGTATTGATTTAGAGAGAGAGAGAAACATCTACGTGAGGAACATTGATCGGCTGCCTCCCACATGCCCCCACTACTCGGGCTTGCGCCCTGACAGGGAATTTGACCTTTTGGTGCACAGAAGGACGCCCAGACAACTGAGCCACACTGGAAGAGGGGGCTTCCTTCCTGAACAATAACTTTGGTAGAGGCTATGTTGCCAAGGAAAAGAAAAGAAAAAATTCCCGGTCCTTTCTGTCCACCCCACAGAAGCACTGCATTGCGGCTGCTGCTGTCCCTGTGACCGGGGCATGCGTGTCTTTCTGTGGTGGGTCCCAAAGAAGCAGCCACCTCCTCCCCCACTGTGGTTTCTGGGCCTGCTTCACCACCCTGGCACCCCCGGTCCTCTGAAGGTCACAAACCCAGCAGAGGCTCCAGGGCACGCTGCGGTTGCCGCTGACAGGCCGCGCCCTGAGAACATGCATGATGAACAGAGGCAGTGGGGAGGCTGGAACACCTTGTCCCCCTCCTGAAGGGGAGGGGCAGCCTGAGGATTTCGACTTCCTGACTGTAGCCCCGTGGCTTGGCATGAGCCAGCTGAGCATTGGTGGGCTGAGCGGACATTAATCCAAAGGGCGCTGCCCTGGTTTCCCGATGGCTGTCTCCCAGGCAGAGAATGAGTCAGTCCACGGTGACAGGTGGGCGAGCTCAGCGGCTCGTCGCTTGGCTGTGCTGATCACTCTCTCCCATGTCTTCTGAGCTGGCCCCCGCTGGAGGAGCCAAGGCCAGCAAAAGGTGGGGCTGGGCTTGGCCTTGACTTGCTTGACTCCAAAGGCAGTGCTTCTGACCCACGAGGTGACCATCACTCCCTCTGTGCCTTGAGGACTTAGCAGACCCTTTGTCATTGTCCCCTCTGCCTCTGGAAACCTCTGGCCACCGATCTCAAGTTAGACAGCACATGTTATTTGTGTGTGTGTGATAAAATACATAACCAATTTACCGTCTTAACCTTTTCAAGAGTCCAGTTCACACTGTTGGACAACCATCACCACCATCCATCCACAGGACTTTCTAGCTTATAAAACTGAAACTCTGTCCCCATTAAACACTAACTCCTTTCTCTGCCCCTGGCCCCTGGCACCCACCATTCTGCTTTCTGTCTTTATGCACTTCTTGTAAATGTAAAGAACATCATCACGTTGGAGAGACCAAGAATTTAATCAATATATTGAGAGCCTTATATGCTGGGGCTCAGACCAGGGACTTGCCTACAAGGGACTCACCCAGCCCTGGGTGGAGGGTCTCAAACCTCAGGTCATCTGCCTGCAGACCCAGCCGCCACCTGCCCTGCACCAGCTGGAGTAGAGAAATGGCCAGGAGTGGCTCAGGGCAAGCTGGCTGCCATACGGGTCCCAGCTCTGCCTCTTACGCCTGGTGAATGGCCTTGTGACTCAGCTTCCCCATCTCTAAGAGGGGGGAACAACAGTACCTGCCTCACAGGACTGTCATGCAGACCAGGGGGGTTAATACACTTCAGGTGTTTGCGCAGCACCTGCGACGGAGGAAGCCTGGCGGGAGCGGCGGCGCCTCACCTGTATTTTCTGCGGACCTCTCCTCACAAGAATGCTGTTTGCTGCCCAGGAAGGCAAGGGGGCAGATGCTGGGGGCACAGCCTCAGGGGGGCTTGTGGGAGATAGTGGGCTTCAGGCCTTGCCCTCAGGTCCTGCTCCTCCCCTGCAGACACAGAGCCTCTGCAGGCTGGGTGCCAGGTGGGGGATGGGGGACAAGCAGGGAGGGGCCTCTGTAGGAAGGGTCCTGGATCCGGACCAGCTCCCAGCACCACACTCGGTGCCCAAGGTCCCAAGTCAGCCAGGCTCTTTAGAACACAGGTTTCTCCCCGCCCCTCGGCCCACCTGGCCCTCACCAGTTTGAGGGAGAAGAATGGGCCCAAGGAGACTTCTAGGGCCTCCCACTTGCCCCTGGGGCCACCTGCTCCACTGCCCACCCAGGGCGAGGGAACAGTGGGGTCCCAACCTTGCCCACCCTGACAAAATGCTCCCTGCAAATGAGGAGGGTCCCAGAGATGGCGGCCTCCTTTGGCTCTATAGTTCGGCCACCTGCCTGCTCCCAGCCACCAGCCTCAGGGGTGCCCAGGACTCCCTTTTAGGATTCATCAGACAGCCCACCGGGGGAGGGGGGGCTTGAGCTCTTACTCCGCCCTCACACCAGGCAGCTCCCTCTCAGCTCCCCCACTGCAGTGCAGGCCTGTGTGCCGAGGGCGTGGGGCGGGGCAGCCCCAGCGCCTGGTGAGGGGTGCGGCTGGTGCTGCCTGGCATCAGGAGAGGGGTGCAGGCCGGTGCCGCCTGGCATCAGGAGAGGGGTGCGGGCCGGTGCCGCCTGGCATCAGGAGCTGGGATTCTGTGCACAGTGAAGGTGTGAGAAGCCTGGTCGGGAGCCCAAAGCTGGTTCCGAAGATGACCCTGGCAGCCGCTGCAGGGACAGCTGTAAACGCTCATTTATTGTTATTATTTTTTACCCTCACCTGAGGACATTTTTCCATTTTTGTTCAGATAGAGTAGGAGGGAGAGAGAGAGAGAAACATTGACCTGAAAGGGGCACGTCGAGTGGCCACCTCCCGCAGCACCCCAGCCGGGATGGGGATGAATCGTCACTGACACACCCTGACCGGAACTGAGCCCGGGACCCTCTGGTCCGCCGGCCCACGCTCTAACCGCTGAGCAAACTGGCCAGGGCTGTAGCCCCTCACTTAAAAGAGAGAAAGGAACTCAGGAGGAGCCGCGTGAAGCCAGGTAGGTTTTGGGGGTGTGCGGGTCCTGAGCCCTTCTGGGGGCCACTCCCCCAGCCCCTGCTTCCGCCTAACACACAGTCACCCCGAACCTCCCCCCAGGTTCTGCACTTGTGCCCCGCTCACGGGCTCCAGAGGCTCCTTGAAGGGCCGGAGGGAGGACAGTCCTCGGTGCAGCCGCCAGCCAGCCGCTGCGTCTGGGGCCTAGAGCCCTGGGCCCGCCCTCCCATCCCGCCGCCGAGGGCCAGCAACTAGGGGGACACGGGCTATTTTCAACTTAAAATTGAAGGTTGCTCCTTAACAACAACAAAATAGTCCCCTCTGATTCTAGGCTGCCGAAGTCAGTGTCCTAAATAAGGACCCGGCAGGCACCGTCCCCAGCTTCCGCTCAGGCTCAGGGGAAGGAGCCGCAGCCAGTGGGGGTGACCGCCCGGTGCCCCGCTGTGGGCGGGAGCTCGCCGGCACCTGGTCCGCCCCGCCAAGCTCTTCCGTGGGGCTTTTAAGTAAAAGGAAACCTGCTCCGTTTAGAACACTTGGGAGCTGCAGGGAAAAAATATAAAGACAAAGATTGAAGTCCTCCTCTTGCTGCTCAGATACTATTTTTATTCGTTGAATATTACTGTTTTAATTAAGGCCAGCTTTTTCCCTTCCTCATTCTTGGGTGTGTTTTTATAGCTCATTGTACATTGCAGAGTGTTTTCCTGTGGTTTTGGGGTTTGTCTTCACGTCCAGTAAGCTGGGAGGTTTTTGCCTCCTTATCGCCTCAGCCGGAGGAGAGCCCAGGCCGGCTGACAGGGGCCCCCTGAGGGGGAAGCTGCACCAGAGAAATTCCAAATCTGGACGTGGGGGTGTGAGGTACCTGTAGTGGGTGCTGTCCCCTGAAGGTGGTCACAGAAAACTTCGGGTGC